TATTAGCACCAACACCATCATCAATCTCACAAGCATTGAACTCACTTCAGTAGAAAAGGAATTACTTTCCAAAGGCACTGATTTGGGAATACCGCCAAAATACAACATGAAGGAACAGGTCCTGACCGACTTCGAGTAATTTTACAGAAAACTATAAGAGTTTGTGCCGGTAACACAATCGAAGAAAGCGGTATGCACTGCTAACCTCCGTGCTATAGCGGAGGAACATGCCGAACAACCCATGGATAGGAAGCCTTTTCATTGTCGAGAGAGCACATAAAAGCCCGGTCAGAATTGAAAGCGAACGAGGATATATTCATCACGAGACCGGAAAACTGTAATCATAAGTCAAACTGAATACAAGTCTAAAATGGCCAAAATCTTGGATGACAGGACCAAATTTGAGTTGCTTGGCCCTTTCTCAACGCATGATCGCTCCAGGCATGGACCAGTTCATTCCCCATAAGACCTCGTCATCCGCTCATCTAATCCCAAGTGGTGGACCCCTGAATGCACACAAGTGATGCGTATCAAGGACGGAGGATGGAGGAAATGGCGGCACGACCTCGGCAATGACGTGAAGAAGCAATCCTTCATCGATTCTGTTACCCGCGCTACCACCACACCTTCGGGCCCGACCCACCTGCGGCTCGCTTTGCGACAAGGCATGGTGGTGCAACCTGAAAGGAGCATGCTGTCTTGGCCGAAACTCTGACATCCCCCTCCTCCTCGCCAATGCCGGAAAGGAACACATCACCAGCAAGGAGAAGGCTGACTGCTTTGGTCACTTCTTTGCTGGCAAGTGCAGCCTGGGTGACAGGGACCTACATCGTGCCTCCCTTGGAACCCCGGCGCCTGCTCACCCACATCCACCACTCACCCATGTCCGCTTCCGCATCCAAAATGTTCACCGCCTTCTGCGCCATCTCGACGCGTCGAAAGCTACGGGGCCGGACAGCATCTCTCCCCCCCCCCCTCCCGTGTCCTGAAAGAATGCGCTCGCACCGGTCCTGACCAAGCTTTTCTCATTGTGCTTCCGGCATGGATACCAGCCTCAGGCCTGGAAGCTTGCCAATGTTGTTCCTGTGCATAAATGCTCATCTCGCTCACAGCTCAAGAACTACCGCCCCGTATCTCTCCTTAGTGTGATATCCAAGGTAATGGAGACCATTATCAACATGCAAATTACGAACTACTTCGAAGGTAACTCACTGCTTGCAGCGAATCAGTTTGGCTTCAGACGGAATCTGGGCACAGCCGACGCTCTTACGGGGCTACACCACTCCTGGGCATCCTCTATCGGACGCGGGGGCGCAGCACGCGTACTTGCAGTTGACATTGCTGGAGCCTTCGACAAGGTCTCTCACGCAGGTGTCCTCTTCAAGCTAGAGCAATGTGGCATCCAAGGAATCCTCCTTGCATGGCTGACATCGTACCTGTCTAACCGAAGCATACAGTGTGTTGTCGGTGGTGCAACCTCCCGTCCATACCCCATCAAGGCGGGAGTCCCACAAGTCAGCATCTTTGGGCCAACCATGTTTCTCATATACATTAACGACGTATCAACATGCCTTGCTGGGAACACGCAGCTGGAAGCCTATGCTGACGATACGACATTGTACACTCTTCTCCGTAACGACCTCCCCACTGCTGCTTCCTTGCTTCAGGACACCGTCAATCGTCTGCCAGACTGAGGCAAGGAATGGCGTGTAGCGTTTGAGCTGTCGAAATCCCAGGCTATGACAGTCACGCTGCAAAGAGCGCAGCTAGCCTTGCCCTCTCTTCTCTTTGGAGGCAACCCTGTGCCAGAGTCATCCACAATAAAGCTCTTGGGGGTGACTTTTGATCCGAAGCTGTCCTTCGCAGAGCACATCCGCGCAGTGTCTATACGTGGCAAACAGCGTTTGGGTCTCCTGCGGCGAGCTGCACCCTATCTCTCCCGAGAAGGCCGCCTCACGGTGTACAAGGGGTTTGTACGGCCCGTTTTGGAGTATGGTTCGCTCGTCTGGATGGGAGCTGCACCCTCCCATCTTGCACGCCTAGATAGCATCCTACGCCGTGCATTGCGCATCATTGGTCCCAGGACGGAGCTCCAGAGCCTCAGCCTACGGCGATACGTTGCTGCATTAACATACACGTACAAACTGAATTTTATCACCGGTCCGACTCAATTGCTAGCACTCCTCCCACCAAGGCTTGAGCCCCGTGACGCCACTCGCACTCGAAACGATCTCCGCATGGCCGCCGGCCACAGTTACCAGCTACGAAATCCCCTACCGCGTCAAGCACCAGACACCATTCTCCGCAGCTTCCCACATTGTGCAATCCAGCTGTGGAATTCCCTGCCGCCAGCTTTTCTCGACTCCGTCCCAACTCGCAAAAATCTTCAAAATTTTAAGTGCAACGTCAACGAATACCTCAGCCGACATGATTGGCGATGGTCGGACATTCTGCCTGTCGACCCACCCACATTCTAGTGCCCCGTCAACGACTCCCATTGCTAAGTATGCGCTGCACACTAGTACTAGCTTTTTTTGCCCTTGCTTTCTTTTTTATTTTTGCTGACCCTTACAGTTCTATCTTTGTTTTTGGTGCGTGTTTTTGGCCGTGATGCCGAGACCTCAGGTCGGCAGAGCCATCAATGCCCCACCATCACTGCTGCATCTCAGTGCAGCCCCTTCTTAGTAGTTGTCACGTTTGTCCTTGTCTCAGTACCATTGTCTTTCTGTATTATTTATGAGTTGGGTATGTGAACATAGGAAAAAAAATGATCAAACTCAAATCCGAGAAAAACAACTAGTGAAATACACACGTGCCTTTCTCACTATTGTCACATGCGGCTAGGTCCTCCCGACCAAAGCGTGGCCGACCACGTCAGCACCCGACGCCACTGTCCGTTCCGGCAGAGGCTTCTGCTCAACAAGAGGTGTCTCCGAAAGACCAACCCAGCACGCAGAAACTGAGAACAAACATTAATGTAAACGAAGAAGGACACTATGTCACATGCCAATTACCAGCGAGTACCGGTACGCCAGACGCACACTATGTCACATGCCCATTACCAGTGAGTACCGGTACGCCGGACGCACACCGTGTCACATGCCCATTACCAGCGAGTACCGGTACGCCGGACGCAGACAAATGCAACTCGCCAAAGCTGAGAAGGAGCAAACGGCTGGCGGCAGCTTCGTTTGCAGAGGTGACTGGGAAAATGCGTCGAACCTCTCCGGATAAGGATGATGCCAGCGGAAGGGTTGACGACTGTCAGGTGCTTAGCAATGGCAAGGGAAGACCGGTCAGGAAGAGAACGCGACAGCAGCGGGAGAAGTATGGAAGCGATTTGTGCAGCGACGATGATGAACCCGGTGGTCAGTTGCTGGGGGAGTCGACGACAGGTGAAGGTGGCAATGATGATGAAGAGGACGATGACGATGATGACGATGATGGTGCTGAGGGCGTGAAAGACAGTGGTGGTCAAAGACCCAGTGGAGGCGGAGGCAGTGAGAAGAAGAAGAATACATCGGCAATTATATTGCATTTGCTGTCTAACCCCGTGTGTCGTGAAAGTTATGATGATTCTTGGTTCAGTGTTGTTCGTTCTGCAAGTAGTTTCAGGCAGTTTAAAGTCCTAGAAGCAGTATACATTCGAATTCGTGATCCAAATCTTTGTAAACAAAAAAGGAAAAAAAATGTTACCACACTTACACTATTCCAGTAAATTGGCACTCACACACGCTTGCACATGCATGTCCATTGTCACAGTGCACTTGCTGAATTCCTATCATTTCTCACCTGTATAGTTTTTATTACCTGTGCAAATTTTGTGCTATTTTTCTTACTATTCTTGTATCCTCGTTGTTTCACTCCAAGTGTATAAATCCAATTGTAGTTTCATCATTCTCTTTAGTCAAGAATTCCATTGATAATTGTGACAAGAAAACGTTCTGGAATACATTATTCGTCCCCATGTTTGTGATATGAGTGCGCATTTGATTATATTCATTGCATTATTAAAAGATTATTGTCTCCACGTCGCCTGTTCTATTATTCCACAGAGAAAGCTCCCTCCGATCTTGCACAGCAATATACACATGGTGCTCATTGCATGCCCTATATTTATAGTGCGTAGCCTTTGATCATCCACACCATAGCCTGCGGGCTTGCGGCCCTTGGGCTACCATCCATGACCTAAGGCTGCGCACTAGGCATACGTCAGCCATCATGCCAAATGTACCATATGTGTTTATTCCCGTAGCTATGCAGCAGACGTTACTTCAGTAACGTCTGGCGCTAGCCAGGGTCCATACAGCTTTAGTTTGGTATTTGTTTGTTTGTTTATGTGTTTGTTTGTTTGTGTCACGCCTGGCACTGTCCGTATCTGACGGCAAAAAAGCATAGGATGTTATAAATTTTTCAATTCTCCTATTTTTTATTCAGGCATATCCTGGGATTCGAACCCGCACTATCGCCCTACATGCATTCCCCCCATACACTTCGCATTCATACCCATTCTTCCAAGTGGCTTCACGTTATTATCTTGCGTTTGAAAGCCCTACAGTATTTGAATATTGCGGGCAGCTGTATGTGGCCAGCTGTGTTTGATGGTACGGTACGGTACGGAAGACGGTGTCGTATTACCCTCGATCGTACCTGTCCCGTACCTATCCCCTACCGTACCGTGCCATCAAAGACGGCTGGCCACAATGCATATTCAAATAGGGCTTTCAAATGCAAGATCACAATGTGAAACAACTTGGAAGAATTAGTATGTATGCGAAGTGTATCGGGGGATGCATGCAGGGCGCGCGATAGTGAGGGTTCGAATACCAGGTTATGTCTTTTTTAAAAAAAAGGATAGTTTTTAAAGAATTTATAACATCCCTTGGCCCTATGCTTTTTTTGTCTGGGTCATCAAGGCAAAAAAAGCATAGCGTAGGGCCCTGAGCTTCCAAGCTCTCTCGTTTACGTTTGGCCGAATGTCTTCTGTGCTGTTACTGCAGGTACCTCGACCACAACAAGCTCACTTCCTTACCTCCCAACATGTTGGACCTAGTGGATAATATAATTAACAAAGTGTAAGAAATACTATGCAATACGTCTTTGAATTACAAACTCTGTGAGTTGTTTTCAAATGTGCTTTTGAGCAAGAACCAGCTCAACGAAATCCACCAAAGGCTGTCATCGACACCCCACATTCATGTCGAGGGAAATTTAGTTGATCCCGAAAAGATTCTCCACAGAAGCCATGTGCTTGAGGACGTTGCTGATAGGAACCAACAGGAGTCAAGTCAAACTTACGCTACGCTTCCCAAGTTTGGAAGACCACCAAACAATCCGGAACCGAAGCCGCTGCTGGTAAAATTGCTGCCATCAGCGAAGGTATCCTCATTACCTATGACCGAATGTACTGGACCCAGAACCAGGTGCGGAGTCTCGCTAGCTGATGCTGCACCAGTGGCTGCATGTACATAAATTGCACCCGAGCTTATTTGCGTACTCCGTGCTGACACAACACAGGACACTCTAACAATAAAAGAGTGCACCCAGCAGCATGCAGCTCTAGTCGCTGACAAACGACGCAATAAGGACGTGGATCCAGTGCCGCCGCCAGTACCATTGCCTCCACCGGAGCCGCCACCTACAACAACAAATAGGCAGGGAGATGAGTGACCAAGAAGAGCAACTGCGAACTATACACATTGAATCGCCGCTTTCCACAAGTGTTAGACAGTCATGCTCCTCTTGCACCAAGCCCTCGACGCAAGAAAAAATCAGTACCAGGAATGAACCGCCAGTTATTACACCTCTTGACCAAGTGCAACCGGCTCCATAGGAGGTGGCTTAGTGATGGAGCAGAACATTCCCACTCAGCTTTCAAGGCTGCCAGGCGGGAAGCTACCAGCTACTAGGCAACAGAAGGAGACCTACTACCAATCCAAGTTTCGAGCTGCGTCTGGCAATACCAAACACACATGGCACACGATCAAAGAATTGAGTGGTGAACATAGACAATCTCAGCCACCTCAATGTTCTGTTGATGCCTCCCGAAACACCTTTGCAGAGATAGTAGAGGACGTCAGCCGCCCAGTGCATCTCTCATTTCCCTACGGGCCCGCATCAAGCACTGATCTGACAGCCTTTGCACCAGTGTCTATTGCCAGAGTGAGGAAGCTCCTCGAACATTTAAATCCGGCCAAGTCCAGCGGTGATGATAGAATTTCTGCAGCCCTTCTCCGCGCACATGCAGACGTACTGGCACCATCCCTGACTTTGATCTTTAACAAGTCCCTGAAAGAGGGCATATTTCCTGCCCAGATCAAAAGTGTTAGGATATTGCTACTCTTCAAAGGCGGAGATCCGAGCATGCCAAAAAATCAGCGGCCAGTGTCCTTGTTATCAATTGCATCCAAAGTGTTGGAAAGGATAGTCCATGAGCAACTCACACGATATCTAGTCCAGAGCAATTTATTCCCGCCAACTCAATTCGGCTACAGATCCCACCACGCTACATTTGACGCACTAGTGCTAGCCGTGGAAGGTATCTGTGAGGCCCGTATGAATAAACTCAACACAGGTGTAGCCTTTGTTGATATGTCAAAGGCATTCGATAAAGTGAAACATCAAACTCTTGTGCGAGATCCGTTCGAACTTGGCATCTGCGACACGGCGCTTTGTTGGCTGGTAGATTACCTCTCTGATAGAGAACAGTACGTTCAGGTTGGCCAGACTAGAAGTGTCCCGTACACCAGTTACTCAGGACTCCCCAGGGGTCGGTACTGGGCCCACTGCTCATTATTGTCTATGCCCGCGGCATAGCAGAAGAACTATGCCGTTTAATGTGGGAGCAATCCAGTTTGCTGATGACTTCTCTATACGATGTAGCAGGGAGTCCCCGGAAGCTGTTTCTGCGCACCTTTCAGCTGCTGTTCAGCACCTGGCCACCTGACTGAAGGGCGTATGTTTAATTCTTTTAAATGAAATAAAGACACAGATATTGCCCATTCCCCCATCCCCATCTCAAGCCCTTGAGCTGCATGTCATTTGTAATGGGCAAACGCTTCCTGTTGTGAAAATGGCCAAGTATCTTGGCCTATATTTCGACTCAGACATGAGCTGGATCACCTTGACAAGCCATGTTGCACGTCACGTTGCCGCAAAGATTGGGCTACTAAATCGAAGTGCAGCATGTCATGCTTGCCGCGTTCAGTTTTTCAGGTCCTTTATATTATCAGAATTTGACTATGCATCTGCTGCCTATGCCCCTTTCTTATCAGGATAAGCGCCTAAATAGTTAGTTCAAACGTGCGGCTCGCTCGGTGTGCAGGGCAGCCCCTCGCACTCACACGGCTCCCTTACTTGAACGCATGAATGCCCATACCCTCAGCATATACACCCACATGCCCATTCTTGTATTCAGTTGGCGCTGCCTGAACAAATTTTCAAGTACTCGGTTTGCAAGCTTTTTCACCCGTAGTCCCTCTCTCCGAACACGAGGAGGGAGCAGCAAGTTACTCATCATTCCTGTGTCCACCACTGCATCCTCAGCTAAGCACATTAGCCATGCCGGAGCTATCCTGTGGAACCAGCTCCCAGCCACTGCACGCCTCGAAAGAAAGCGCTCCACTTTCAAATCGCTATGCCTGGCCTTTCAGTTAGGCAGTACCCTCAACTAGGATGAACTAATCTGCTTCACTACCGCTCTCTCTCTATCTCTCTTTCTCTCTCTCTATCTCTCTCTTTCTCTCTCTATCTCTCTCTCTCCCTCTCTCTCTCTCTCTCTCTCTCTCTCTCTCTCTCTCTCTCTCTCTCTCTCTCTCTCTCTCTCTCTCTCTCTCTCTTTCTTTCTCTTTCTCTCTCTCTCTCTCTCTCTCTCTCTCTTCTCTCTCTCTCTCGCTCTCTCTCTCTCTCTCTCTCTCTCTCTCTCTCTCTGAAAGGGGGAGGAGGATGAAGCCCTAGACACTACGCACGCACCACACAAACACTCTGTGTCCCTGGACGATTCTGCTGTGCCATATGACGATCCGTTGGGTTTGACCTCAAGCCAGCGGAAGCACTCCAGTACACGGCATGACACAGGTGAACATCATACATGTCCGAAATAACGCACCACCATCAAACAAGAACATAACCTTGCATGGCATATGCGGACTAACAAATGCAAAACATTGGCAGCATCGCAGGCTGGAGCTGTGTCAGCAGTCTCTGCATCACCACCACACGAGACTCCAATGACTTTAGAGGCAAGTACACCAACCATTGCACATCAGACCGGGAAACAACATGTCCACACTGTTTGAGAAAACTCAAATGGAAACAAAACTTGCCACGACATCTACAGACCTGCCCGGTCTACAAATCACTTTCAACCACCTCAGCCAAAGCAGACGGCAGTAGCGGGGATGGTCGGACGACTTCTATGATTGATTCAATGCACTTCAGCCCATCTGTAGGTCAGACAATGACTCCTGGAGATGAATTGCGAACAATCCCGCACGAATCCACTCCCTATCATAATGAGTCTTTACCTCATGTCCTGAATCAATGGGACATGGACAAGGTAGAAGTCCGGCAGTCCCTACTGCTACCGTCAGCCAAAAACACCAAGGCATGGCACACAATAAACGCTCAGTTGAAGATCCATCTCACTCAACATTTCCCAACCTCATACCTCAAAAAACACTTACATCGAAGAGACTCTGGACAAACTAGAGAACTTCATTCACTGGTTTTTCGACCAGAAACCACCACCACCTCCACCAAAACACAAGAATGCAAATAAAAACCGTGCAGTGGAAAAACTCCGGGCTCACAGGCGTGATTTAAAGCGCCAATTTCGTAAGATCAAAAACCCGGACGAAGTACCTGCAGCGCTCAGAAATGAGTATTTTTCAATTGGAAAACAAATCAAGCGTCTTTTGAAACAACAAAAGATGTACGACAATCGATCCCGGAACAAGAGGGACCAGGATGCCTTTCTCAAGGACCCATATGCCTTCGGAAAGAAATTGTTTCAACCAACCATGTCAAACCCACTTTCTCTGACACTACCTGCTTTGAGTACTTCCAACACACATATGCAGATCAGGATCATGCCACTTCGTACGAATCCTGCCCCAGTGCAGGGAAGCCCCGGGATTGCACCCACCCAGTCGATGAGGGAACCCCTACATGGACTGAATTTCAGAATGTTTTGAAGAAGTGTCGCAACACCTCTGCACCGGGTCCGGACAAGATACCTTACATAGTTTGGAAGCTTTGTCCCTCCCTTCAATCCATTCTTTCACCATCTTTTGGCGGGTTTGGGAGATCAAGATCATTCCAAGGTAGTGGCAGGTAGCGTGTATCACACTCCTGGCCAAGGGGGAGGTGTCTGATGATCCTTCGAAATTCCGACCGATTGTTCTAGCAAACACGTCCGGGAAGATCTTTTTCACCTTAGTTGCAAAGCGCCTCATATGCATATGCTAGGTGTAACGTGCGTGGTCTAAGGCTAGGAGGCTACTACCCACAGTCAGTCAACTAACGTATCTGAACTTACTCTGGCACGGCCTGGAGGTTATCTTATATCAAAGTGAAAGTGAACTTGCCCTCTCTCTGATCTCTCTTCTTCCGTATGAGATGCAAACTAGAGAACTTATACAGAATCTAACAAGGCCGTTGGCAAGGGGGCCAGCTAGGAAGCTACAGCTGGTGTCTATTGCGGGAAACAAGCAGCAGGCAGCAAAACAGCTAAAGAATGTATGTGATAGTGTAGCAAGCAATCTGGAAATGCCATTGATTACTCGCAGCGCGCCTCAGTGCTACAAAGGAAGCATTGGAGCATGAAACTGATATCGCAGTGAAGATAAGTCCATACAACTGCACAAGGACCTCTTGCAAATGAAACATAGTGGCACAAGTATTGTATTTGGAACAATGACGACTACTGATAATTAGTGTTGGTCTAGCTACTCTCCAGTGTGTAGTGGCGCCATGCAAGGATCATGGAAGAACAATCGTAAATGTAGGAAGTACTGTATGCTTCTAAACAATAAGAGTCATGCAAAATACATGTACTACTACTAGTACTAGTCAT